GACAGACAGGTGAGAGACAGACAGACAGACAGGCAGGTGAGAGACAGACAGGCTAGCTTCATTCCCAGCATTCATAGCTGCACTGTGTTGACATGAGGACAGATATGGAGACGTGAACAGCAGATATGAGACGAGAGATTCTAGATCAACAACAAACAGTAAGTGGGTTATCACACTGTCTCTCTCTCTCTGTCTGTCTCTCGCTCTCTCTGTTGGTAATTTTAGCTCTAAATACCTGAACTTCACTTCACACGATTAAACTGGGGCACGACCGTGTGTGTGTGTGTCTTACGATGGGATGGCAGTGAGAGAAACGTAGATTGAAATCAAGAGCATTTTTTAGCATAAAGACACACACAGCTGTCTAAATGAGGACATTGCATACTCTATTAAGACTTTGATTGTTTTTATAGACAGCTAATTATAAACACTATCTCCTAACACGAACACACACAAACCCTCACAGACACCGATCACAGTTCCTGACTTCATTTATAAGCCGTACCTCTCCCACCATCCCGTTCCACGTGCCGTTGATCTTCTTGCCGTGTTTGCCGTTGGTGACCAGATAAAGGTCGTAGGTGAATTTCACAGACTTGGCGATCTTCTTCAGGATGTCGATACAGAAGCCTTTACAGCAGCGCTTGATGTAGATGCCAGAATCCCCCGTCTGATTCCTGACAGACAGACAGAGACGCACGTGAGTGATCTGACAGATTTCTGTATTAACCCTCTGGTAATGTTCGCTCATTTTAGACCCCCCCCAAAATATAAAGTTTGGAAATTTTAAAAATCACTACTTCATCCGAATGGTACGAAACTCGGTGACCTTTATGGCAGTCGCCCATGTGACCCCCCAAAAAATCGTGGACTGGATTCGAAAAAGCTAAATGGTCATAAAAAAATAGGCACACTTGTGTTGTTCATGGTCAAAAATGACCACCATTGGAAATGAATGGGAAATACGCAAAAATACAAAAACACAGATGTTTTTGTGTGTACAATCTACAAATCAACCACAATACAGAAAAAAGTGCACAGCAATGAAGGGGTGACAAAACTTAAGCAATTACGTATGAAAACACTGCTCAGTAACTAAGGAATGCACAGCACTGAATATATATGGCTATACAGCCATCTAATGGCTACACCACGGTACTACAGATTAATTTTTTTCCACAAGGTGGAACAAATCTGCATCAGTTCAATGGATTTTAAATACTTTTGCTCTATTTTTAACGTAAATAGTGCATTAATTGAAAAAAATGAATAAAATGATAATTGCTCTTTTTTACATTCTATACAGAAAACCATCCATAATTTAGATATGAATATTAATTAATAACATGAAATACACTAAAAATGCAAAATATTAAAGAAAAAACGTTACTGAAATGAAATATAGTATATTGATTTCACAAAAGTAAAATGATTACAGGATTATATGGCCTCCGGTACAACACAAGTGTGACTCCCAAATGAACAACACCATAGGGTTAATGCATCAGGCGTTTGTGATCAGATCAGTGAAACCACAGACAGAGGTCATCGTTTCAAGAGAGAATGTGTGTGTGTGTTTACAGTGATTTGAGCTGCTTGCGGCAGGGAACCGTGTTCCTCATGCAGGTGCCACTCAGTGGATCCACTTCCTCCACCATCACGAACGGAGCCTCCTCCAGCGTCACGATGGACAGATGATCGTCTTCACGGCTCTCCGTCCCAGAGTACAGCTCGAACCGCGGCCACACGTGAAACTTCATCGACAGAGAGCCGTTCTCCCACTTACCCACCTGCACACACACAGACATTCTCAAACTCACGAGCATCTGCTGGTCGTTCACATGGAGTGCCAAAGCAGAGCTGCTGAACACAGAATCACGTCTCAAACACACTTACTCTGTCCCACTGTCTGTCCTTGTTCAGCAGGATGATCACCAGTTTGGGGTGCATCTGATAGCCGTCCTCACTGAAGGAGAGATTCCGGCCCTCAAACGTCACGTTCATCAGATACCTGAGAAACACACCGCTGACACTCAAACTGCAGAAGCACACACCAGATCTGCAAAACTACAGATCTGTAGAAATACACTAATTCTCAGCCTTTGACTCAGTTTTTAATTTCAGAAAACACAAAACACAACACACAATTCTCTATGTAACACACACAAATCTAACAGGAATTAATATTACGGCAAAGGTGTTTGCAAATGTTTGCTTTTGAGATGTGTTTGTGATATTTTGAATGCAGCGCTTCATTTTGCAAGAGATGAGAGGCATGTTGAATTTTGTGTGCAATTCTTGGATTAGTAAAGTTTTGAAAAATGTAAGCAGTTGAAAAAAAACTGTAATAAGACAAATAATACTAATAGTGAATGAAAAATAAAATATTATTAAGAAGAAGAAATATTAAAAGAAATAATCTGTCTGTAATGAGTGTGAGTGTGTTAATAACAACAGAAGAAAGAAGAAATAATTTAAAAACAGTAAGAACAATAAAGTATAATAATAACGATACAATTACTACTATTAATAATTTACTAATAAATATAACAATAATGAAAAAAGGAAGGATAATAAAGAAAAAACAAGAGAAGAAATAAGAAAAAAAAAAAATGCTAAAATAGGACAAACAATAAGTAAGAAGCAAAACAAACTAATGGCTAGAAAACGGCAACGATCGCTGTCATCTGTCTGTCAGTACTTATTGATGTTTTTATGGTTTCATTGTGTGGCATATGTATTGTGTTGTTATGGCAACCACAACCAGTGCAGCTTCCAAACTCCTCCCCTGTGTTACCATGGAAACCATCGCCATGAGAGAGAAAGAGAGAGAGAGAGAGAGAGAGAGAACAAGCTGCTCTATATCACATCTCCTCACAGATCTGAGAAACACACACACACACACATATAACACTCACACACATACACACACACATACAGTGAGTGTTAGTGTTATAGTGAGTGTGTGTGTTATATATGTGTGTGTGTGTGTGTGTGTGAGAGAGTGTGAGTGAGTGTGTGTGTGTGGGTGTGTGCGTGAGAGAGTGTGTGTTTGTGAGTGAGTGAGTGAGTGAGTGAGAGTGTGAGTGAGTGTGTGT